GGCCCATTCCCCGCCACACCCAGGGGCAATAGATATTTGTTGACGGGTGTGGAGTATCTGGCCTATGGCCTGGCCCCTTGCCAACCAGTCGGCAGCAGCCATCGTGGAGGCCTTTGTTCAGGGTTATGTCCTGGACAAAGGTGCTCCGGAGCGGCTGCTGACCGACCAGGGCAAAACATTTTCCGGTAAATTGCTCAAAGAAGTCTGTGAGCTCCTGGGCACGAAGAAAATTCGTACCTCCCCGTATCACCCGCAGACTGACGGGATGGTCGAGCGTCTGCATCGGACCATCACGTCAATGTTGTCACAGCAGGTGTCGGACTCACAGACCAATTGGGACTTGCAAATTCAAGGGGTATTGGCGGCGTACCGGATGGCCCCCCACGCAGTTACGGGATTTTCACCCTTCTACCTCATGTACGGCCGCGAACCTGACCCGCCTGTTCGTGCCCAGCTGCAGATCCCCGCGCCTCAGGGAAAAACTAAATTGGCTGACCATGTGAAATTTAATTTGGCCAAATTGACAGAGGCACGGGATGCTGCCATACAAAACTCTGACCTCCGTCAGAAAGCGAACAAGCGACTCAGACGGGGTCGGGCGCACATGCTGCAGTGGAAGCCGGGGGACAAGGCATGGCTGCACTGTCCCCAGGTGCCATTAGCAACCTCCTCTAAGCTGGTGCGGCCGTGGCGGGGCCCTGTGGAGGTAGTTGAGGTGTTGCGACCGCAGTGCGTGCGTATCAAATGGGGAAAGCGGCGGTGGTTCGTGCACCCCTCTAGATTAAAACCATTCGTCGCAGTACACATCCCCACTTTACACACGCGTGGCCAAACATGTGGGGGGTCGGCCGACTCACTGGGACCGTCTCCGTCGCTCTCACCTAATGCATTGCCGGCTGTGCCACCTCCAGGTGCATCATGAGTGACGGGCTCACGCCCGATCACCCCTCCTGGGGATGCCAAGGGTCACGCGGCGTCGGATGAGGACTCACCCCAAGACGGACTGTTGCCACAGGACGGTCCGCCACCCGGGGTTACCCCATGTGAGGGGCCCGCTGCAAGGACGCGCGCTAAAATGCGCAGACTGTTGTGAGGACGGAAGATGTGTACATAGGTTGTGTTCATTGTGTGTTGTGTGAATGGTGTGTTCCCCGCTCATTGGATGCGTATGCGTTGGGTTCACCATGTGTTGGGTGTGTGGTGGGTTCCCTGCAAATCGTGTGTATGCTGTTTTACGGAATTCGTATTTATTCGGGGGGGGGGGGTGCATCGGGTTGTTTTCTCTTCTTGCTGTTGCGTTCTTGTTGTGTTCTTGTTGTTGTTATTGTTGAAAAATAGTGAGGCACACGCGCGGTCAGGGGGTAAATGCGCTTTTATTGTCGTTTTTTTTGTATGTTGGCAGCCGGGACGGCTGAAAGCTATGCGGGGGGGGGGGGGGGGGTGATGTAGGGGTGTTAGAGAGAGAGCCGTTATGCATGGCAGCTTATGGGAAACAAACACAGTGGGCGGGGCTACGTGAGTGCACGGGGGGGTGCTCTCAACGACGTCCGCACCGGGCAGCTCGGGGCCCCACCCCTCAGCGGGGGTTGAGTATAAAAGGGGATGTGTCAGAGGGCTCGGGGAGAAATGTTAAGCTAACGAGAAGACTGAAGACATCTTAGCTAGAAGCCCTGGACTCCCCTAGTTCGACGTCCTTATCAGGGCCGAACAAGATCGAGCCAGCGGCGTGGTTCCGAGAGCCAGAGCCGGTGCTCTTGTCAGAGCAGGTCTGGGACTCCGGGTACCGGGCCCGACTTACCAGTGTCGGGCCAGATAGCCTCCCCTAGCCCGTTAGTGGAGGACTAAGAGGCAGGCTAGGGTAGCTAGTGTGTGTATTCCCAGCTAGCTGGGTGAGGGGGCCGATACCCCCTCGAGTGTTATATGCCCACTGTTGTGCTGTGAAATAAACCCGTGTGCCTCCAACTCCGGCGTCAAGAGTCGTCAACGGTATTACAAATGTATGCACCGTCCTGCCATAGTGAATTCCTTGTCTGTGCAAACTTACATGGCCATTAAAACCGTTTCTGATTCTGATTCTGAGTTGAATGTCGCCCTACCTGCTTCGGAGGATGACGATCCAACGTCCCTCGTGATTGCAGGGTGTATTCAGTCTCACCTCGGGTTGAGGAAACGCTCGGGCCACATGGCTTGTGCTGCATCGGCGGAAGGGCGTGACACTTCCGAGAAAGACGATTCCGCCCCAGTTTGTGCCGCCGTGGCCAGCGCCGGATGTCGGAGGCACGCTGCCGAGTGCCATTGGAGACACGACCGGCCTCCACGTTACCTTCCCAGGGCCAGGCTCCACTCGCGGCGTCTGCTTCAATTGCGGGCGGCCGGGGCACGTCGCTGTGGAGTGCCGGTCGCCGCACCAGGGACGTTTTGGGCCACCGTCCACGTCTCCTCGTCCGCCATCGCCTTCAAAGTGTCCTCAGGCGAGTCGCAGTGCACCACACATCTGGCCCTCGTTCTCTTTAGATCGTGTTTATCCGCGTACAGTTATTCCTTCTCGTTGGGTTGCACCGCATGGAGGCTCCGCGGCGTCGGGTGAGAGTTGGCCTATCGGGCGTGACCAGTGGTTGCAGTTGACCCGTCGAGTTGTGGCCTCAGCCGCCGGGTCATTTACGGTCGTTGGTACCATTCAGGGCATTGAAGTGTGGATCATGCTTGACACCGGTGCCTCCGCCACCATGATTTCTGAGTTTTATTTGATTTTTCTTGGTTCTTTTGGTAAAGTCACGTAGAATGGAAATAATAAAATAATAAAAATAAAACATAATAAAACAAAAAATGAGAATTGTTTTATTATGTTTTATTTTTATTATTTTATTATTTCCATTCTACGCGACTACCGAAATAACCAAGAAGATGAATCCCTGCAGTCACGAAAGCTTGAAATCGAAATTTTATTAGAAAGAGAGACACGCAAACTCCTAATATGCAGCAGGCGTCGGGATGGAATCCACGACCTTCGCGGCTAATGGGGGTTCACTGGGAATTTTGGGACAGATAGTGGCGGAGGTATCCATCGGGGGCATTATGTTACAAGGACTCCAGTGGGACTCCTGCCTGATATATTTGGACGATGTCATTGTGTTCGGTCGCACGTTTGAGGAGTATCTTGGCCGACTGCGTGCTGTTTTTCTTAAAATGAGACAGGCTAATCTAAAATTCAAACCACGAAAGTGCCATTTACTACAAAGTCGGTGTGGTACCTCGGCCATATCTTTAGTGAATCGGCTATCACGACTGATCCCGATGAGACTGCGTGCGTGCGCATGTGACCCACCCACAAGTCAGTGGGTGAGGTCTGCAGTTTTATCGATTTCGATTCTTAATTCCGTCGCTTTGTGCCCGAGTTTGCCACCATTGCCAAGCCGCTCTACACTCTCACGGCAAAAGGGCAGAAGTTTCGGTGGGGTACGGAGGAGAGGCGCCTTTGTTGCCATCTGTGACAGCTTGGTGCGCACCCCTGCCCTCTGGTAACCAGATTTTTCATTGCCGTTCATCCTGGACACCGATGCCAGCAATACGGGCATTGGTGCTGTGTTGTCATAAGTGGTGAACGGCGTTAAAAGAGTGGTGGCGTATGGGAGCAGGGTGCTCTCGCCGGCCGAGCAGCGTTATTGTGTAATGCGCCGGGAACTGCTCGCCTTTGTATTTTTCATACAGCAGTACCGGCCCTATCTATATGGCAAAACATTTGAGGTGCGATCCAACCATGCCGCCCTCCAATACACTTTGCGTGTTGACCAACTGTCAGGACAGCTGTCGCACAAGTTGGAAATCCTTCGGGATTATTCTTTCTGAGTTTCGCATCGTAAGGGGACATGTCACACTAACGCCGACACATTGTCGCGACTTCATCCGGGCGGCCATTGTGCCTGTCTGTGTGAGCATCGCGCCTCACTATGGATAAATAAAACTCTAGTGTTTGCCACATCCGACACCAAATGAAATGGTCCGATAGAGGCGCACATACTGAACTTGAGAGGCAACACTATTTATTGTTAAACACAATGTGTAACTTTTAACATTTCACATAGGGTGGTGACCACCGACCTATCCTCGCTAACACACACTATCACTTGCTAACACTCACTAACACTGACACTCTGATACGACTAGCGTGGCCAAGCCAGGAGCGCTACTGGTTGGCCACGCTGACTTGAGGCTTGACTCTTCTTCTCCATGTAATGAGAGTGCGCCACCTACAATAGCCACCTACAGGATAACCAGGGGGTTATTGCAGATACGTGCTATGTTGTCTCGCATCCACCTGCAGAGCCTCCCCTCTCTCCGACACGCCGTCAGCCAGCGGCGAGGCGGAGAGAGAGTGAGTTCCACTGTGGCGGGATGCAAGCGTGAGTCGCATCCTGAGAGCAAGAAAGAATCAGCTGCGAAAGAACGAGGGAGGCACGTGCTGTACTGCAACTTAAGAATAAATATAAGGACGAAGCTTGCACCATGTCGGAGACATTTATTACATTCATGAGGCATCTTCAAGAGGCATCTTCAAGAGGCATCTTCATCCCGGACCCGAACAGCCTCACACCAGGTGCGGAGCCCGCTTATATGCACCTTGGCATATCCGGGCCACACCCCGGCCATGCCCACCTTCGAGAACTCTTGAGAAGGCTCTTCTTCTGACCAGGTGGCACCGAGGTGGCACCCAGGGTGCCCCCGGCCCCCATCTTGATCCGGTCACGTGTCCAGCCGGGTTCATCCAGAGTGTCATGGCCTCACACAACCTCCGCGGTACTGACCCTTGGCCTCCAGACCCCCCGATCTGGCCGTGACGTCATTCCCACATGCAGACGGAGTCACGTCATGTGTATGTGTGTGTGGACCCGCGCGGTTGTGATGCTCCCTCACGTAGTGACGTCACGCGTGTGTGTGTAGGCCCACACGGTATTAACGTTACAAGTGTACATGTACAAGTGGAAAGAGTCCGTGTTACTCACACATGAATGGCAGCAGTTTGATCAGAGCTCCCTGCTGTGCGCCAATCGTGGCCATATCTTCTTTGCTGGGAGATGAGTGTGGAGCTTCCTTCTGAGCGCCTCTCCTATGACACCAGAACCAGCAGTAACTCACAGCCCGTGTCTAACACAGCATCATGACGCACATCAATCATCACACAGCATCATCACACATAGCATCATCACATGCAGCATCACCACACACAGCCAGTGTCCTACAAAGCATCATCCCACACAGCTGGTGTCCTACAAAGCATAATTACACGCAGGAACATCATCACACACAGCATCATTACATCAACATCATCGAGGTACACAGCATAATCACACTCAGAATCATGACAAAAAGCATTATCACACACAGCATCATCACACAAAGCATCACAAGCACAATCATCTTAACACAGCATCATTACACACAGCATCATCATCTCCCACACACAGCCTCACCCAGTGTGTGAATATGTGCGAGTTCATGAGTCCATACCGGTTTGTCTCCTTCAGGTGCACCTGCAGGAGTCAGACACAGGAGGCGTAAGTCAGTTCATTTCGAGTCACGTTAACAACACGGTTATTGGTAGACGCGATGAGGGTGTGCTCAGCCATTCGCGTATCCCAGTGTTGTTGGTTGTGATCAAGACAAAGCCGTGGACTCGTTTGGACTCGATGATTATCATCAGCAAGGTGTCACCTCTCAAACCATTGCCATAGGCAATAGGCATACGTGACACTCAACATCGAGTGGCAGTGATTGTGAACCAACATTCGAAATAATCATCCACCCAGAGCATTGCGTTACCTTTGTCAGTAGTTTAGAAAATTTGGGACGATTTTTGGGCCCGGGTAAAACTATGTGGCCTGGAGTCGGAGGCATTCCCAGTACACCTTGGTGTGCGACAGGGATGTCCTCTGGCTCCCACATTATTTAACATCTATTTCGACCACGTAGTTCGTGAAGCCTTCAACAGCTGTACCAGGGGAATTTCCATCTGGTACAGATACAATGGGAGGCCGATCGATGCCCGGGTGCGGTCAAGGGATGGCTCCCTATTGCTCAACCATGTTATGTATGCCGATGATCTGGTAATTGCTGCTCACTCAGAGGAGGAGTTGGAGGCGCTGCTGGTGAACCTGGAGCTTGCCACTAAGAGGTGGGGCCTTACCATCAGCCCCACCTAAACTAAGCACCTGCCTGGGTATTTTGTACCATCGGACACTCCACCCCAACAACTCACAATTATTGATAGGACAGGTATGGAGAGAGTGGAGAGTTTCCCATACCTGGTCAGTGTGCTCATGACTGGCTCTGGTTTAACAGCAGAGGTCTCACTCCGAACCAGTCAAGCGGCATTATCTTTTCATCGGTTGCGTAACGCTGTGTGGAAGCTACCTGGTCTGTCGCTCCGCACGAAGCTTCAGGTCTTCTCGGCCACAGTCATTCCCTCCTTTCTCTATGCTTGCGAAAAGTGGACCCCCGTAATGGAACGTCTTCGCCGGTTAGAAACATTTAGGCTGGCCTGCCTACGATCCATCCTGGGTTTAACCAGGCTGGATTGTGTGAGGAGCTCACAAATCCTTAAAAGATGTGGATAAAGTCCCATCGGTGAGCTCCTCTGGCAGGCAAGGCTGCATTTGCTTGGTCATGTAGCCCGCATGCCCAGCGACCGCATGCCTAAACAGCTTTTGTTCGGCCGGATCGAGGGGGCTAAACAGGCGCCGCACGGGCTAGAGAAGAGATGGAGTGATGTGGTACAGGAGGACGTGGAGCTGAGTGAACTTGCCGATGACCAGTACCAGCGGTGTTAATATCGGCCTTTGTGGAAGAGGCTCATGAAGGATGCTACTGGGCAGTTGGAGGCAGTCGCCCTCCAACAACAACGGAGGACGGAGGAGCGACGCTCACAACAACGAGCGGAGCGCCGGATGGATAAAGCACACCAAGTTGGCACAGTCGGGGGTACAGGTGGTGCATCAGCCAGTCATCTCAGTCAGTCGACCCGTGGCACCTGGGTCTGCCCCGTGACCTCCTGCTAGCGGGTATTCGACATTTCACGTTCCCTCAACGTTCACATAGCCTGGCACAAGCGTCGTGTTCACATCACCGCCACTTAGTGGCGAATGGCGGTTGTTGTGTCTGTGCGTGCACAAATGCCCCGTGTGTGTGTTTTTTTGTAGTGTCTGTGTGCGTGTCTGTTTGTGTGTCTTTCATTTGTGTGTGCCTCCCCCATGTATGAGTTTGTGTGTTCAATTGTAGTGACTCATTGCGCCTCTTTTAATAAGCAAGACAGGATCAGGACTCAAGGTAAGTGAAAATGCAACGGATTTCTTTCTATTCATGTTACTTTATCTTATGTTTTATTTACTATACAGTTATTTTACAGTGTTACATTAAAATGTACAGTATTTCTTCATATTTATGAGTTTAACAATGCTTCCATTTTTTGTTGAACCAGAACACATTTCATGACACCAACTGGAATGGCATTCAAACAGGGTACATTGTTAGGTTCCGACTTATGAACTGTTCGACTTTGCGAACAGGCCTGGGAATGAGTTGTGTTCGTAAGTCGAGTACTATCTATATTTATAAAATCGTGAATCTGTCTGTCTATCTGTCTGTCTGTGTGTCTGTGTGTCTCCGGACCATACGCACTTTCATTGGACGCCGGTTGCCCCTGCCAATGGCTAGCGACGCCTTCGCTGCTTTCATTGGACCTGGCAACGGCTAGCGACGCCTTCGCCAAGGGCTGCAGTTTCATTGGACGGCGGTTGCCCCTGCCAATGGCTAGCCACGCCTTCGCCACTTTCATAGGCTCCGTAATTAATTAAATAATAGCCATTACTCAGTATTGTTCGAGCGCTAGGGGGGGGGGACCGGCACCCGTACCCAGCGTCAGCCAGGTGGGAAAATCAGGCGAGGCGGGAGGCTCTGCACGGTGCTAGGCCTCGACACCCACCACGCGAATCTAAGGTAAATTCATAAAAGTTTCACGTCCTCTACAGAGTCGTGAGGGAGGGAGAGTGGCGAGGGAGGGAGAGTGGCGAGGGAGGGACTCAGCCTCAAAACGAGCAACTGGTGTGGCGTTTTCACATCGGCACTGGGGAGACAAAGGCGGCCAGGCGTGGTGGATCCAAGTCCCGGGCGAAGCCGGGTCATGTGTATGTGTGTATGTGTTTATGTGTATGTCTGTGTGTCTCTATGTATGTGTGTATGTATGTGTGTGTATGTGTTTGTGTGTTTGTATGTGTGTGTGTATGTATGTTGTTTTTTTTTGTTTATGTGTATGTCTGCGTGTCTGTATGTATGTGTGTATGTACGTGTGTGTATGTGTTTGTGTGTATGTATGTGTGTGTTTGTGTGTATGTCTCTGTGTGTGTATGTGTTTGTGTGTATGTGTGTGTATGTATGTGTGTGTATGTGTGTGTGTGTCTGTGTGTGTGTGTCTGTGTCTGTGTGTGTGCGTGTGTGGTGTGTGGGGAGCGGTAGTGTAGTGGTTAGCGTGCTCTCTGTGTGTCTGTGTGTGTGTGTGTCTGTCTGTGTGTGTCTGCGTGTGTCTGTGTGTGTGTCTGTGTGTGTGTCTGTGCGTGTGTGGTGTGTGAGGAGCGGTGGGTGTAGTGGTTAACGCTACGCTGCGCTACCAACCCGGCGAACCGAGTTCCATTCCCGCTCACGCCCACCACCGGTGACGATTATTTGAACCTCCCCTAGGTCGACTCAGCCTCAAACGAGTAACTGGTGTGGCGTATTAACATCGCCACTGGGGAGACAAAGGCGGCCGTGCGTCAGTGGTGAGGGAGGGAGAGTGGTGAGGGAGGGAGAGTGGTGAGGGAGGGAGAGTGGTGAGGGAGGGACTCAGCCGCAAAACGAGTAACTGTTGTGGCGTATTAACATCGCCACTGGGGAGACAAAGGCGGCCGTGCGTCAGTGGTGAGGGAGGGAGAGTGGTGAGGGAGGGAGAGTGGTGAGGGAGGGACTCAGCCTCAAACAAATAACTGGTGTGGCGTATTAACATCGCCACTGGGGAGACAAAGGCGGCCGTGCGTCAGTGGTGAGGGAGGGAGAGTGGTGAGGTAGGGAGAGTGGTGAGGGAGGGAGAGTGGTGAGGGAGGGACAGTGGTGAGGGAGGGAGAGTGGTGAGGGAGGGACTCAGCCGCAAAACGAGTAACTGGTGTGGCGTATTAACATCGCCACTGGGGAGACAAAGGCGGCCGGCCGTGGTGGATACAAGTCCCGGGCGAAGCCGGGTAGTACAGCTAGTCCTATCTATGAAAGTGCTCTACCTGCAGGAACGTGAGTGAGTCCCTTTCCTCCTGTAGAGCGCGCAGGCGCGTGGCTGCTGCCTTGAGGTCGCTGATCTCGCGCTCATAATGAGCGATGTTCTCCTCGATCCGGGACAGCAGCTTGCCCCCCTTCACATCCACGCGATCCAGAGCCGTCTTCTCATCGTCATCCAGCATCGCCCTCATGCGGGCGAACTCGCCTGAGATATGAGCCTTGGTCTGGACCATGCAATCCTGCAAGGGTGTGCGATGGATGCTATCAATTAATATTCAATGCTATAAATACCAAAATCACATTGTTTTCTGGCTACTCCAAACCTAGTTTGCCCTGCCTCCACATGATGTGTCTGCACTTACATCTCATTGAACAGGTCGATAACTTTTAAGTATCTAGTTCCTTCACATCCATAATATGGTTAGTAAAATAAAAAGTAAAATTGGATTCCTCTTTGGAAATATTCACAACATAAAGTGAAACATTAAATTGTAAATCGAAACATAATTTTCCATACGGTCCCATGATATGACCTAAGATGCATTACTGAATCAACACATACTATAAAACATAGTTCAAAACATCTGAGATATTTTACGAACAAATATGGAAAACAATAACGATTAATAACTTTTGATTTAAAGCTTTCGTGACTGCAGGGATTCATATTCTTGGTTCTTTCGGTAGTCACGTAAAAGGGAAATAATAAAATAATATCAATATTTAACAATAAAAAATTCTCACGACGTTTCCGACTGCAACATAAGCAATCATCATCAGGTGTGAAATCCACAGCAAGAAAATTTGAAAAAAGTGGCGGTTTTTCCTAACGTCAGCAACACAGACAGCGATTTGGCAGTTGGCCAGATGGACGAGTCCATCTATGTTCGGAAAAGAGGAGGGGGGAGCATAAAATGGAATGCGGTCTGAAAGTCACCGTAAGCGTGAACACAATCAATTAAGACCCGACATGGTTTATCAAATCCTTCCAGTGATTGCTAAGCCACAATCCATTTTCTTGGTTGAAATTGTCTCTGTGTTTGTATATGTATATGTTAATAGACTCATGAACCAACCTCTCATGGTAGCCAGATGGATTGCAAGGACCAACACCTCGGCCGTGGCAGATCACTGTTATAATTCAGTGGGCTCACATGACATTGATTTCTCAACATTCTGCTGCTGTGACCCTCACCAGAACAAGTGGATTGAGAAACGAATGAATGAACAAACTCATGCATGCGACAACGCAAACAGGCTCATAGCAATATCGTTGAAGACATATCAAAAGTAGATTCAATTACGTAATTATCTGAATCATTAAAATGTACTACATCAAAAGAGCTAACCACTAATTCATCATGATTCGTGCATATTCAATTTAAAACGTTTTAAATAATAATTGTCTCTACGTTGTGCTGCTTTAGAAGTAGGTGCGTGTCTTGAGAGCAAAAGTGTTTTCTGGCATTCCTTGCACTCTCTTTATAGCCGCATCTCTTGTGTTTATTCTAGCATTCAACAGCCGATTTCCTGTAAGATTTTATCGTCATCTTCAGTAGTTTAATGTCTCGTTTATAATTCAATACAATCGTTGCTCCATACTGCTTTATTTTATCTGATCCATTGCAAGTCATTCGAAAAATCTTGCGACTTGCTTTGAAGTCTCACGAGAGATAAAACATTTTGTGTTAAACGTTTCATTAAAAAAATTACGTTTCAATCACTCGTAACTATAATACTGCAATGTTCTGCACAGTTATTACACACTGACTCAAGCCTAACAGAGTTCACTTGAATCTACGGAGTTTTCCTCAAGGGGAGAGTCACAGACTCCACTCAGGGCGGAGGTCACAGGGCCACAGACAGAGGCCACGCGGGTACCTGCACGTCCTTGCGAGTGGCCTTCATCTGTCCCACGGACGCCTCCGCCTTTTTCCTGTCCTTCTCCACTGCTCGCATCTCCTCACCGACTCTACCCTGCAAGAGACGAAGTCATCAGAAGAGATAGTTCTGAATTGCCCACCAGAAGCGTGGTGAGGAAGTCCGTATGGACTGACTGAAAAAGTCTAATAGACAAGGGACCTGTGGACAGAGAATCAACCCACGGTGATGTTTGTTGTATGATATGTTTCTATTATACTGGTAGTAACCTCCTGGTTACACCAGCCCACGGGGGATTATTCTGTCCGTCGTGCATTACAAATATTGCAGGGGTGGGTGGCGCTGGGTGGAGAGAGGAGGATGGAGAGGGAGGGGCTTGGTTGGGAGGGTGGGGCTGGGTGGGGAGGGCAGGAGGGGTGGGGCTGAGTGAGGTGGGGCTGGTCACCCCGTGGTGCCCTTATAAAACTCAACGTTTTACAGGTAGGAACAACAGGTTCCACACTGCCCACCAGGGATTATTTGTCTGTCGTGCATCGGAATGCAGCCCACCCATGCACCCCCACCCCACCGACCGCCGAGCAGGGCCACGATTGGTTGAGGATGTCGGGGAGGGTGGGGGGAAGGTAAACACGCCCAATCATCCAAATCCCCCCCCCCCCCAAATGCCGAGCGGGACCGCCATTGGTAGAGGCGGGGTGTAAACACGCCCACTCATGCAATCCCCACCCACCGAACACCGAGCAACGCCGTGATTGATTGAGGATGTCGGGGAGGGTGGGGGGGGAGGGTAAACATGCCCACTCATCGAACTGCCCCCCCCCCCCGAACGCCGCGCTGAGTGTGTGTGTGTGAGTCTGAGAGTGTGAGAGGAAGTGTATGTGTGTGTGTCTGAGAGTGTGAGTGTGTGAGTCTGAGAGTGTGAGCGTGAGTGAGTCTGTTAAGGCTATACGGGGATCTTTGTCTTTGTCTTTGTGTGTATGAGAGTGTGACTGTGACTGTGTGTGTGTGTGAGTCTGAGTCTGAGAGTGTGAGAGTAAGTGTATGTCTGTGTGAGTCTGAGAGTGTGATAGTGAGTGAGTCTGAGAGTGTGAGAGTAAGTGTATGTGTGTGTGTCTGAGAGTGTGAGGGTGAGTGTGTGAGTCTGAGAGTGAGTTTATGTTAGTGTGTGTGTCTAAAGTGTGAGAGTGAGTGTGTGTGTGTGAGTCTGACAGTGTGAGGGTGAGTGTGTGTGTGTGAGTCTGAGTGTGTGAGAGTGAGTGTGTGTGTCTGAGAGTGTGAGAGTGAGTGTGTGTGAGTGTGAGTCTGACAGTGTGAGGGTGAGTGTGTGTGTGAGACTGAGAGTGTGAGAGTGAGTTTATGTGTGTGTGTCTGTGAGTGTGATTCTGAGAGTGTGAGGGTGAGTGTGTATGTGTGTGAGTTTGACAGTGTGAGGGTGAGTGTGTGTGCGAGTCTGAGAGTGTGAGAGTGAGTATGTGTGAGTCTGAGAGTGAGTTTATCTGTGTGTGTGTGAGTCTGAGAGTGTGACAGTGAGTGTGTGTGTATGAGTCTGAGAGTGAGTGTGTGTGTGTGAGTCTGAGCGTGTGAGGGTGAGTGTGTGTGTGTGAGTCTGACAGTGTGAAGGTGAGTGTGTGTGTGTGAGTCTGAGAGTGTGAGCAGGAGTGTGTGTGTGAGTCTGAGAGTGTGAGATTGAGAGTGTGTGAGTCTGAGAGTGTGAGAATGTGTGTGTGTGAGTATGACAGTGTGAGGGTGATTGTGTGTGCGTCTGAGTGTGAGAGTGAGTGAGTATGTGTGTGAGTCTGAGAGTGAGAGAGTGTGTGTGTGTGAGTCTGAGAGTGTGATGGTGAGTGTGTGTGTCTGAGAGTGTGAGAGTGAGTTTGTGTGTGTGTGTGTCTGAGAGTGTGAGAGTGAGTTTGTGTGTGTGTGTGTCTGTGAGTGTAAGTCTGAGAGTGTGAGAGTCAGTGTGTGTGTGTGAGTCTGAAATTGAGAGTGTGTGTGTGTGAGTCTGAGAGTGTGAGAGTGAGTGTGTGTGTGTGTGTGAGTCTGAGAGTGTGAGAGGGAGTGTACGTGAGTAAGTGTCTGAGAGTGTGAGAGTGAGTCTATGTGTGTGAGTCTGAGAATGAGAGAGTGAGTGTGCATGTGAGTCTGAGAGTGTGAGGGTGTGTGTGTACGAGTCTGAAAGTGAGTGTGTGTGTGTCTGAGAGTGTGAGTGTGTGTGAGTCTGACAGTGTCAGGATGAGTGTGTATGTGTGAGTCTGAGAGTGTGTGCGTGTGTGTGTGTGTGAGTCTGAGAGTGTGAAAGTGAGTGTGTGTGTGTGAGTCTGAGAGTGAGTGTGTGTTTATGTCAGTCTGAGAGTGTGAGAGTGAGTTTGTGTGTGTGTGTCTCTGAGAGTGATTGTGTGTGTTTGAGTTTGAAAGTGTGAGAGTGAGTGTATGTGTGTGTGAGTTGAGAGTGTGAGAGTAAGTGTATGTGTCTGAGAGTGTGGGTGTGTGAGTCTGAGAGTGTGTGAGTGAGTGTGTGAGTCTGAGAGCGAGTTTATGTGTGTGTCTATGAGTGTGAGACTGAGAGTGTGAGAGTGAGTATGTGTGAGTCTGAGAGTGTGAGAGTGAGTGTGTGTGTGAGTGTGTGTGTTTATGAGTCTGAGAGTGTGAGAGTGAGTTTATGTTTGTGTGTCTGTGAGTGTGGGGGTGTGCGTGTGTGATTCTGAGAGTGAGTGTGTGTGTGTGTGTGAGTCTGAGAGTGAGAGTAAGTGTGTGTGTGAGTCTGAGAGTGTGAGAGTGTGTGAGTGAGTCTGAGAGTGTGTGAGTCTGAGAGTGTGTGAGTCTGAGAGTGTGAGAATGTGAGTGTGTGAGTATGACAGTGTGAGGGTGAGTGTGTGTTCGTCTGAGTGTTAGAGTGAGTGAGTGTGTGTGTGAGTCTGAGAGGGTGTGTGTGAATCTGAGAGTGTGAGGGTGAGTGTGTGTGTCTGAGAGTGTGAAGGTGAGTGTATGTATGTGTGAGTCTGAGAGAGTGAGAGTGAGTGTGTGTGAGTCTGAGAGTGTGAGAGTGAGTTTATGTGTGTGTGTGTCTGTGAGTGTGAGTCTGAGAGTGTGAGGGTCAGTGTGTGTGTGTGAGTCTGAAATTGAGAGTGTGTGTGTGAGTCTGAGAGTGAGTGTGTGTGTGAGTCTGAGAGTGTGAGAGTGAGTGTGGGTGTGTGTCAGTCTGAGAGTGTGAGAGTGAGTGTGTGTGTGTGTGTGAGTGTGTGAGTGTGTGTGTGTGTGAGTCTGAGTGTGTGTGTGTGTGTGAGTCTGAGTGTGTGTGTGTGTGTGAGTCTGAGAGTGTGAGAGTGAGTGTGTGTGTGTGAGTGTGTGTGTATGATTC